ACATCAATGAAATTCCTAAATGAAGTGATCAAATATCCCTTGACCAGCAATTTCATAAAATATTTAATTTAATCCAAATTGAATCGATATCCTAACCTTTATCTTCATTTGTTATCTGGTGTTTGTTCGATGATATCAAATTTAGTATTGTTATTTTCTTGAATTTTTTTTAGCTGAAATTAGAGAGCGCGATTGGTGCAATGTGGTTACATGTCATGTTGATACTCCACAAGCTTACGTATGGAGACTTCAAAACTTTGTTCTTGGTGAGCATATCTTGAAACCATGCCCAGAAAACCCGACGCCAATTAAGGTTTGTTCAAGATGATGTCACTTTCACCCTGTTTTTAGGCATCTGTATATAATATGACATATCGTTAAGGAGAAAATGAAATGATATGTGGTTCAGATTATACGATTTCCTTGTGATTTCACTTTTCTATAAGGGTTGAAACTGGATCTATTAATTTTGTTGACCTTAAAAATGAGTATGTTAATTTGTGATGAAAACTGGGGTCGAAGAGTTGAGTATGGGTGTGTTTCAGTCACTATGGTGATAAATTGTTTATTGGCCTTCTCTGTTGTTTGGGTGGATCTGTAAGCTGCAAAAAGATGTGTGCATGTTCCTTTTGTTTTAAATTGTCCGTTGAAATACCTAAAACTTGATATACTTAGTGTATGATTATTTCATAATGAAAAAAAGAATATTTATTTCTGAACATTTTTGGTCACTTTGATGTTAATATAATATTTATTTCTGTTGATGAAAACCCTATATGATACTTCATCTGGACAACAGGCTTGTGCAATCAGTGCATGTGGAAATTTTGCCTTCTTAGGGACAGAAGGGGGTTGGATTGAGCGATTCAATCTTCAATCGGGTGCTAGTAGAGGTAGTTACTTGGATAAAAAGGAAGGAAGAAACGCTGCACATATTGGAGAAGTTGTCGGTCTTGCTTGTGATTCTACAAATACCCACGTTATAAGTGCAGGAGTTGGTGGAGATATAAAGGTTTTTATTGCATGTCCTTTAACTTAGCAACCAACCAAGACTTGGGTAATCTCAGAGGAGAGTTTGTGATAAGTTCCATTTGTTAAATGTCTTATGTTACAGGTTTGGAATTTCAAGGAGCGTGATCTAAAATCCAGATGGGAAATTGGTAGTTCTGTTGTGAAGATTGTCTATCATCGAGTAAATGGTAACTTCCAGGAATCCAATCTGACCTTGATGACACATTTTCCTTGTTCAATCGTGTTTTTAAGCAGATTTTTTAAACTTGAATTTCAGGACTTTTGGCAGTGGTAACTGATGATTTGGTTATCCGTCTGTTTGACATTGTGGCTTCAAGAATGGTTCGTAAATTCGAAGGTCATACAGATCGTATAACCGATTTGTCTTTCAGTGAGGATGGAAAATGGCTTTTAACATCTAGTATGGATGGAAGTCTTAGAATTTGGGACGTCATTTTAGCAAGGCAAATCGATGCACTACAAGTTGATGCTTCGATTACTGCATTTTCTATTTCTCCAAATATGGATATTTTGGCGACTACACATGTAGATCAAAATGGAGTCTACCTCTGGTAAGTTATCTTGATGGCAATACATATACTCGTTTAGTAAGGCGAATAAGGAGAAGTATAAATGGGGAAAATGATTTTTAGTATTATTTTCTAGAATGAAACGATCTTATTTTTATCTCCGTTGTCTCGTTAATTATGAATTTCATATTTTATCCTTTAGGAACTGTTTTTTTTTTTTATTATTATTATTTTTAACTTTTCCAAATTCGACCTCTTCCTTCCTTGTGATCTTCATAAAGATTATTTATCGAAAACCGATTTTAGTTTAAAAAAAAAATTTGGAAACTTTTCAAGAAGGCTATAGTTAGTTGTTAATCAAGCAGGCTATCGAATGTTTAGTTACATAGATATTGAATACATGCTTAAAGATTGGAAAATTTTCAATGTTGTATTGAGGTGTACTCCATGGTTGGTTATAGTTCACCGAGGAACAAAAAGTGATAGTCAGAGGGCTAGAATGTATTGCCATGGGGTTCCTTTCCTTTCTGTTTGGAAGACTGCTAAATTTTTTTGACTTTTTTGTTGACATTTTAGGGTGAATCAATTAATGTTCTCTGGTTCATCAAACGTGGATACCCTTGCAAGTGGAAAGGATATTGTTAATGTTAAATTGCCATCAGTCTCCACCACAGAAGGAATGGAGTTCGAAGGTTGCGACGAGAATCCTTCAAAACCTCCTGAATCTAAAGATTTATCAGGCTTTCACATCTCTAGCCAGCAAATCCCAGATTTAATTACACTTTCACTGTTGCCCAGAAGTCAGTGGCAGAGCTTGGTCAATTTGGACATAATAAAGGTATGTTCTTATTCTTAGTTGATTTCCTCCATTGCACACAGACAAAAAAGAAAATTTTATGTACTGATGCCTTTTTTTTGTTCATGAATTTTCAACTTCCAGGCCCGTAATAAACCACTCGAACCTCCAAAGAAACCCGAAAAGGCTCCTTTCTTCCTACCATCTCTTCCTTCTCTCTCTGGAGAAATACTATTTAAGCCTTCTGAGTCGGCAAACACAGAGAGGGCAGAAAAGGGAGTTGATAATGAACAACACAAAAAATCGGATATAACATCGTCTCAATTCTTGCAGATTCTTGAATCTTCTTCTGAAGTACAGAACTGTAAGTTAGCATAGCGTTCGCATTTCTTTTCCTATAATGCATTTGATATTTTTTATGCTTTAGCTGTAAACGTGAAAAGCATTTCTGAAATAATATGATTCATATATCTTTCAGTCTCAGCCTTTACTGATTACATAAAGGGTTTATCCCCATCAACGTTGGATTTAGAACTTCGCATGCTTCAAATTATAGACGACGATGATCGTCAAGAACCCGAAAAGAGACCTGAACTTATATCAATTGAATTGCTTCTTGATTATTTCATACACGAAATTACTTGCCGCAACAACTTCGAGTTCATCCAAGCCTTTATCAGATTGTTCCTGAAGGTATGGCTTTATCAAAGGATTTCTCATATTATGACTTCGAACTTCTCTAGTTAAAGAACTGATGGAAGGTTTTGTTAATGAAAAATGCTTCTACTAAATGGCTGCATATTCCTTTTGGCTATAGATACACGGCGAAACGATTCGTTGCCAGTTGACATTGCAGGAGAAGGCAAGGAAACTCCTGGATATTCAGAGCTCAGTATGGCAAGGTTTGGATAAAATATTCCAATCCTCTAGATGTATGGTTACTTTTCTTAGCAACTCACAGTTTTAGGTGTTGTGACTTAGTTGGTTCATCGTAGAATCATGAAAGATCATATTATTTATTGCTGTTGTAGATTAGTTTTTTTTTTGGGGGGGGGGGGGGGGANTTCATCATAGTGGCTTAAATCAGAGAGAGGGATGTTTGTTTTGGCTTAATATTTACTTCCAACTTAGATGATGAGTTAATTAGTGGTTAAGTATTAGGTGTAAATTGTATAACATGATCCAATTTTGTCCAACATTGCTGGGTATCATTATAATTCTTTACTCTCCAACTTTGCAGCCAAGTAGCATTTCTCTTATGTTAAGTTCTCTGTGCTGAAATATGTTTCTTTTCTCTCCTACACACGTGAGATTTCACAATCCACTTCCTTTTGAGGTCCATCGTCCTTATTGACACTTGTTCTCCTTTATAATCGATGTGAGATTTCACAACTTTCGTGCTAGTAAGATACAGACATCAAAGTCAATATCCAAAAAGATGGGGGATCATCTTTGGAATAACTAAGAACTTTTGGGCCTGAGAGCCAATATCCAAAAAGATGGGGATCATCTTTGGAATAACTAAGAACTTTTGGGCCTGAGAGCCAATATCCAAAAAGATGGGGATCATCTTTGGAATAACTAAGAACTTTTGGGCCTGAGAGCCAATATCCAAAAAGATGGGGATCATCTTTGATCTTTGGAATAACTAAGAACTTTTGGGCCTGAGAGCCAATATCCAAAAAGATGGGGATCATCTTTGAAATAACTAAGAACTTTTGTGACCTCAAACTTCTTAACCTTATTCCATTCAATACATATACTTGAAATTATGACCAGATTTAACTTAACCATAGATTTAAACTATAATGAGATTTAACTTAACTACAGTTATGTTATGTTTTAGTGGTCGTATTAATAATGTTAATTTTAGTATATAGTAAAACTTAATAAACCAACCGCGTAAAATATTTGTTTGTTAGACATATCATATTTGAAATCTAGCATTAATCTCTGCCTCACAAATACTTCACTCGATACCCATCCTAACATATTACGAGTATCCAATTCTTTTTGAGTAGACCCATCTCATTTCTTATTTTGGATGAGAGCAACTCTTAGAGAATTTTTTTCCATTTTAATTTTGGAGATGCAAACAAGAGCTTCAATCTCCATTCTCGTTCTTGACCTCACCCCAATTTTGTTCACGTTCTTGCCCTAGACTCTGCATCGATTATTATTTCGTACTTGTGTACTTATATAAAAAATAATTTTTGATTTTTATTTATTGAAGTGTTAAAATTAAATTGAGATCTATTATTTTTTTTTATTAGAAAATGAAAATTTTAAACATTTAAATAAAACGTGGTTAGTTTTAAAATATTCATAGAAGAATTTTCACGGTACAATATTATCCATTTTAGGTGTAATCTCTAGCTACTTTGATTCCAAGAGCCTCATATCATTGGAGAGAATATTCGTTCCTAAATTAGGTAGAGACTTTCACCATCTAACCATATTAAGTCGCTGAATCTAAACTAAATTAAATTCATAAAATTTTAATTTATTTGGATTAAACTCATTATAAATTTTTAATTTTTATAAATTAAGATCTGTAATTAGAAATAAAAGTAAAAATAAAAGGGAGAGAAGAAATTATTGCAGAGTTGAAGAGAATATAATTATTTGTATTTGTCTCTGCTCCTAACCGCCAGAGGAGAGCAGAGAGCCCTCTCTCTTCTCTCTCTTCTCTCTCTCTCCTCTCTTTGAAGCTTTTTTTCTTGTTCTTCAACATTTCTTTCAAGTTTCAATTTAGTGGGGTTGAAGGAACTCCCGCTCTGCTGCTTGTTTCGCACTCATCGGGGATCTAATTTCGATAAGATTTTTCCTTCTCTGTTCTAATTCTTCCAATTTACTCCATTCCCAATGTTATCTTCACTTCATACCACTCGATTCGCAAACCAGACGGATTGAATCAAAATTTCGAGTCAGAAATGGAGAATTACATCGGAAAAAGGAAACCCACCATCGCCCTTTCGCTCTTCACCGCCTTGTCCGCTTCTTTCTCTTCTGATAAAACGAAATCCGCTCGCGATTTCGAGAACGGCGTTGTTGGGTTGGGCATAGTTGCTGCCATGACTGATTCCCACAAATTTCATGAACCTTTTGTGTCTTCCAAAGCGGTTTCTCCCATCGTTTCTTCTGCTAAACCAGCCGCTAATTTCAGAGGTGGTCTTAACCTAGAAAAGGAACAACCCGAGGTTGTTGATGAACTTTCTGAAAGTTACACTTGCGTAACTTCACATTTTGGTAATCATATGATTGAAAAGCGTGTTTTCTTTAACGGTGAGCTTGAAATGGTTAATGGCCGCTCTTCCAATATGGTGACATATGGGGTTTTTTCCACTTCCCCCATGAGTTTTGGTGTAGCGGAGAGAGGGCTTTTTGCTGCTGAATTTTTGAGCTCTTGTCATCTCTGCTGCAAGCATCTTCATGGGCTTGACATCTTCATGTACAGGTAAATCCCAGTTCTCCTCCCTTCTCTCCTCTGTCTTCATTTTATTTGATCATCTTTTATTAGTTAATTTTTAGACAATTGTAGCATGAAAACTTAGAGGGAGAGAGAAATCCAAGCCCAGTTACTTTGATTCCTATAAATTGTTGAGTCATGGTGCCTTGGAATGGAATCTTATACTGTTGAATCGTGATATTCTTTGGTTTCTTTGATGTTGTCAAGTCATGATAGTTGCTGCCTTGGTTGATTAGTTCATGACATAGGTAGAATGGATGATTTTGCTTTCTCTGTGAAGTTTTGGATGTGTGGTTCATTGATTTGCTCATTCTATTCGTTTATGATATGCCTTTTTAGGAGCTGTTAAGAAAGCATCTAGTACCACGTTGCCTAGTTTGGGATGTTTCTTCTCTGTTTCCATTCTTATGAGGATTTTCTTTTCAAAGTGGAAATATTTGTTGAATCACACAATTTGTTTTAGATTCGATAAGCGCTTGGATCAGATCCCTGTTGCCGATATTTGTCAGCATGATTCGAGTTTTTTTTTTCCTAGATTGATATGATTGAGTTTGGTTACTGTCTCCCTTGTTAGGTTAGATGGGTTATTTTAAAACTGTGCTCTGTTCTCATGAGAAATAAAGTATATATCGGCTTTCCCTTTCGAGGTTCCCCTCAAGGTTTTTAAAACATGTTTGCTAGGGAGAAATTTCCACACCTTTATTAAGAATTTTCGTTCTCCTCCCCAACTGATGTGAGATCTCACAATCCACCCCTTCAGAGCTCAGTGTCCTTGCAAGACACTCGTTTTCCTCTCCAATTGATGTGGGATCTCACATATAGTCTCTTTTAAGCTTCAATTCTAAGAGTTTGGCTGTTTATCTCCTTTATTAATGAGGACTTAAGTGTTCGTTTTAAGTTAGCTACAAATACAACAGCAGACAGCTATTATTCCCTTGTCTGGACATTATACTAATCTTTGAATGGTATATGACTTGATCATCGTGGGACATTAATATTTGGCTCTTTCTTAAGCTACCTCTTCGATTATCGTCACTCGAATGGGTTGGCTTGATATCTGGACTTTTATGCTTTCCAATTATCACATAATTGCAGGCTTGTTATAGAGAAAATCTTCCTCATCTTCATGTTCTAATTGAGATATTTTTCAGCAGCTTGTTATTAAAAGCTTCTTGTCCGGTACTTTCATGTGGTTGAAATGAGATGAGATAACATGTGTTTGGACATGAAACTTTAGCAAATTGGTTGGCTTTCATCCAAGATTCTCATGAACTTGGAATCTTCTTTTTCACTTGAGAATGACTTTGCTGTTTCATTTATGCAGAGGGGAAAAGGCATTTTGCAGTGTCGAGTGTCGCGACAAACACATCAGAGGCGACGATTGCAGGGAGAAGTGTGGATCGAAAGTCATGAAAGACTACTCGGCGTTGCCTTGTTCCGTGGCTGCCCCCCCTGCCTTGGCTTCTGGTGTGGTTGCAGCTTAGGTATAAAAAATGTATGAATTGTGAGTAAAGGATACCAAATAAACTGTTGGTAGTTACATTTTTATGGATAATATGTAACTTATATTCAAGTTGTTAGGTTTAGTGATATCTCCATTCCCATCCGATCCCGACCCGTGAAAATTTTCATTTATTTTTATAAAAAATTGTTTTTTCTACCCAAAATTCTCTCTTTTTTTTTTCTTTTTTTTTTTTTTTCTTTTAAAGAGGTAGATAATATTTT